AATCGCATGTCACTCCCGCTAAGCAAGCGTAAATTATGCACTCCGTTAACCACCCGTGCAAAAAATTGTGAAGTAGAGCGCAATGATGAGAATCCATTAATTCCATATCTTGGAATATGTCTGAAATTCCCGATTCCCTTATCTTAAAGATCAAGGGTGAGTGGTGTTGATGAAACTGGTGGGTATGATTTTCGGCTTCCTACAGCGCACTGAGGAAGTCACCTCGCATGGTGATGAAACGTCTGCATACCAATTACGAAGCTCGGCGAACAATTGAACCCAAGAACGATCAACCCGGGCTACCTGTACATAAAGTCATTTTAAACGATTTCGACTGTCAAATTCAGAATGATTACCACCTTCTCTGTTCTTCTCGCGGTAAGCACTCAGAGATGCGAGGTATATGGAACGTCGGATTGGCCCGAGTGGACTATAGTGAACATGTATGCGGGTAGGACACGATTCTATGTCGAAGTCAACAGACAGTGTCTCAAGACATGGCAACCTGGTGTTTGTTTCAGCACATGCTACCAAGAAATCAAGGTTGAAGACCGTCAAACACAGATAATATTGACAGTTCTTACTGCTCATAACAGCAGAAATTATCGAGTATGGTCGAGGTCAGTCATATGAACGCTCAAGTGGGATGCTTAGTAGGCTCCGATCAACGCCTTGGACGCAATGCAGGGCAGACGCTTAGAAGAATGACAGATGATCAGAATTTCAATTGTTTCGACGAGAGCAGCCAATAGGTGTGAACAGACGGAAAGCAGGGAGAAACCAGATGATCGCTGAATAGGAACTTAACGAACCCGGTCAATGCGTGCAGCATGGTTCCGCTAACTGACTGAAGTTTGGATGTGCTACGCTGAGTTCTCCTTTGTTAGTTTAGGTGAGTCAAAGACCGAATCTCACCAGACCAAAGACGTCATTCTTAGCGGAAGCAGATGAACAGTATGTATCACGATGATCCACAAGTAGGACGCGCCATCATCTTTGTCGACCCTGCCTTGCCCGATAAACCGCCTGTCCCCGAGTTTTGCGACACTGGCAGAATTGAGTATAACCATACAAACGATTGAAGCCACTGAATAACACGTTTCTTCAGATTCAAATTAACAACCAACGCGCGTAGAGATTGTTAGCTGACCAAGAGAAACTAGACTCCGACATGTTTCGGCGAGAACCCCTATGGCGTTCAGGTGCGTTGAAGCCATCACAGTACGAGATAAGCTGTCTGCCGTACAAAACCAGTCCATTAGAGCTCTATTAAGCTAGGCTGACTATTCAGCTTGTAAGAACCCGAGATGCAGGCGGAATTGTCTATTGCACTAAACAACAACACATTGCACTAAACAACAGATGCATTAGTTCTGACCAACGAAGCTTCCGCTCATCAACGCACTCCCTGTGGAAGATTCCATGGCGCGCGTCGCTTCGGTGTTTAGTGGTTATGTGGCGTGTAATGTGAATGTATCCATTACTCGCGCGCATACGTCTGTGGTTCTCAAGTGTTCCCTTCTTTCCGGGGCATGCTGTTGTCTCAGTGCTGTTTGCCTTCCTGGCACCTCAATACTACTGATAACTGGTGCAGTAGCATCTGTCTTTAGTCCACCACAAACTGACACTGGCAGCTACTGCGCATGAGCCGAATGTGTAACGAATTCATTGGAAGCCGCTTGTTAGAAACCCACCAAATACAGGTTAATTTTGAAGGATTCAATTAAAGTAACCACGATGTGAAAGTTGGTTTACGCACATGATTAGATTCCCACAGAAGAAACTAGCCTAACCAGATTGTTTGGGGATAATCGAGAAGCTGATGAGTATAGTTTGGTGGTGGCCAGCGCAACATGCAACACTAAGTAGTTTTCGAAATCTGCAGAGGAGGATGTGAGAAAATGGCCTCAAAAAATAGACAAGCAGCAGTTTATGCTCAAAGAGCAATGGGCGGAAGAAGCCGGGGTTTCAATAGTCGCGAATAAATCATCTGAATCCACGTTGATTATTTGCGAACAGACAAGAAGACAGCTGATGTTGAGGAAGTGAATTGACGTATTCGAACCAAAAGTGGCAGCTGCCCAGATGGAGTAAGTCTCACAGTGTTGCTAAACACTGTTAAGGGGACACCAAAAGGAGTCCGCCGATTGACCAGTGTCAAAGGAAATAGAACGATACCATCTGAAAACAACGAGATGTTAAACCAAGGACTGTTCAAGTCATGACAAACTACACAACTTCCATAAATTCTTGTCAGCAAAAGTTAGACAGGTTTTCACATTGGCAGAGGATGCATTTACCCATGCAATGATGCGTCGACAAATGACAAGACAGCACAAAGCTACGTTCCGCTTAGATGTCCGTGGATGGTTTATACCGCCGAGGAATGTGTAGGAAATATTTCGTCTGATATTAAAAGTTGTATGCAGTGAAGCTTGGGGTTATAAAAGCGTTTTTTGGGGTGAACGACAGGGTAGATGCGGTGTAATTTGTCCATCTCCTGCTTCCCACCAAGTCTGTATGCATAAAAACAGATCAGATTCTGGTACATGGCAGACTGATGCATGTGGGAAGACGGAGACCTGTTAACGTCGTAACGTACTAAACAAGAGCCATTGAAAAAGCTGCCACAGAGCGCTTCAGATAAAGGTATGTCTTACAAAAATCGATCGGGTCAACCCCGTAATCCGTGTCTCGCACAATCGAGATACAAACTATAATTTATTTTCGTTTACGTATGATTTCCGTACATCCGTTCTGTAATGTTATTTCTTGTTCTTTTCCGAGGGCAACAGTATAGGAGCATAAGGTAATTCCCGTGCTCGGGGATAACAAATACTGCATTTTTCGAACGCATGCAATTTATGGATCAACCTGAAAATTCATTACAGAACTGCGTTGTATGTCGGTAATTCGAGCAGTCATCTATTACGACGATCCTGCTGCACAATTTGATCAAAAATCTATCACCCTCTCTTGGACTTAGTTAAATATGTCATATCCTTAGCGTAATCACTATTCTACCTCCTCATATCGTATATTTGTCTTTACCCCATTGATGACCATGACTAGGTCGATCTTCTGAGGTGACGGATTGAAGCTTCAAAGGCGTAGTATTGCCATAGACTCAACAGCGAGTAATAAAAATGCTTGAGTAATAAAACTGCTATGAGATAGCGGGCTTGAGTATCTATAATATGTACACATGAAAACAGCCTTCCAGATGAGTTAACTAGGTGATGGCATATCCGCTTTAAAGCCAGACCGGTACACGGTCAGATGGGGCATGGAAGTGCGGGTGAAACGTTTCGAGGGACAAGCCTACATGGCAGCATGCCCCCGGGAGACGGCTCCATGGTTGGCCGTATTACTTCAGTTGAACCTTTGGAGTTATCTGCCATTATTATTAGTAGTAATATTAATACACAATGTTTTTAAAAGGTGCAACAAAAAAAACCAGCACACAAAATAATCTGGTAACTGCTCTGAAAAAATATCATCCGTCCCATGCGATTACGTTGTACATAATGACCAGACCAATCAGCTGAACTGTGCCTCGCATCGTCGAGGAATATACCGTTATTCATTTAGTTTTATAAGATGTACATCCGCTTTAGCATCCTAGGCAGTAGAGTTCCTCCAGGTAGGCAAATCGCCAGAGGGGAACAAGTAGGCGTAACAGTACACAACCAGCGTGACATAACAAAGTGCTAGTCATTTATGGAAACAACGAAATACCATAATTTCAGCCAAAAGCGGGGTTCACATGCTTGTCCTAGGTTCAATGTTTCGGTATGAACAAGAGATAGGACGACTGCGTGATAAACACATTACCAGCTGATAACCCGCCGCTGACTAGTTGTGTTGGGGAAACAGTGTGCAAACCTGATAGGAGCCATGAACAGTACGGAAACCAGTTAAGCGACAGCGGACAGTGTGAACCCACAGGATCGCATGCTTGGCCTGAACCAAAACAAATCATGTCCATCGCACACCTTCAGATTGTCTAACAAAGCGCATGTTATGGTTCATCCCAGAAGCGCACAAGCCAGATAATCTGATCACCAATCCGGAAAAGCACCAAACGGCGGTTTCGTGCTATTAGTGGTGTGCATCCTCCGGCTCGATTTGGAACCAAACCCATGACCGCTATCAGTTAGCACCACTAACCAGCAGCTTATGCCATTGAGCCACGGGGCGAAATGGCAGAACGTCATAACTAGCAAGCATTATCATCAACAACAATAGCAGTACATCAGCCAGTTGAACTGATGCTTCGCTACTATACAACCATGATGACTAATGGAATAAAGAATAAGAAGAGGGAGAGAAGGGGGACTTAACTGAAAACCTTAATGCCCTAAATAAACATTCAGGGTCAAGGCGCCTACACCTTGCGTAGACAACATACCGTCACACACAGCTGTCTATCGTGCAAAGATAAGGCGGCATCGGCAAGACAGCTTCCTTGCGGCTTTCACTGCCCCGCGTCATAATCAGCCATTACCCCGCGGATAACACAGCACCAAGCACTAGCAAGCGCTGCTAGCTGAAATCTGGGTAACGACACAAGGAAAGGGTACAGAGGGACTGGCGGAAAGGCTGTGTTACGCGGACGCGTGCCGCGTTCAAGGATGGAGACCTAAGGGTCAGATAAAACAGTTGGCAAACGCTCGGCTGGACGAGGTGCCTCGTAGGGACCACTAGTGCATTTGATTCCGGTTCCGCGTGGCTAGCCCTTACAGCTGACGATTCCGTCATATCCAACTCTGTTTTGTACTTCACTTGCTGATAGCCCGTCAGAATCGCCCTAACCACAGCCAAACAGCATCAGTAATAGTAGCAGCAGTAGTAGTGGGATTGGGAGTAGCGTAGGCGGTGGCGGCAACAACCGTCATCAGTACTATGGACTTTATAATAATAATAATAATAATAACAACATTGAACCTGCTATGCTCCTGTGCCTGTAACGTAATCAGTCAAATGAAGTGAACACTTACCTGGAACTTTTCCTCCTCGGAGACACATCATCATCAGAATCTAACTCTTCATCCAAAGAGTCATGCAAATCCGTCGCCGAGCTGTGTTTGACACGTCGTACCCTTCGTTTGGATGACTTGCCAGATTGGAATCCGTCCATGGCTGTTGGAGTGACGAGAGCGAAATCAGAAAGGAATGACGAATGGAGGTGATGAACGTGAGACTCAGAATAATTAACTAGGATTGAAATAATGCGATCAATCTTGTGGTTTGAAGCAGTTAGTTCCCATTAAACGTTTTAAAATCACAATGAGGAGACGAATATGGGCAGATTGTTAAAACAAGGGGGAAAGCGATCAGCAATTTAGGTGAAAACCGGAGCACCCACAGGATGCCTCAGTGATAGGAATGAAGATCACAGAGAATGAACGGGCCTGCAGTTGGGGAAATCAAACAGAGTATTATCAGTAATGGTACAGCGACTTTACATACCACTGAACGCCTCCTCGTCAGTTGAGTTTGCTTCGTCATTGTTCGAAGCATCTGAGAAATCCACAGCATCCATGTCGACATCATCTGTAAACAACAAATGCAGCGCGTGAGTTCACTGAACGAGGAGGGAGCACGGAAGTGAGAATAATTGGGCGACGTGTTACTTACGCATCTTGTAGAGATCCAAAGCTGACAGATGATTACAGGATTGACAAAAATGTTCACAACAGCAAAATGGTAAAGATATCCAGAGTGAGTGTTATGTGTTGCCGACTGACAACACGGCACCCCGCGAACGATTTCCCAATTGGTTGCACCCAAAAGAATTGCGAATCAAACTGCCAAGTTACCGAGTCGAAGATGACAACCCTTGTCACAACGATTAATGACTGATTGGACGGATCATTCGGAAACCCACATTTTGTGGACTGGAA